TACAGGTAGCAAAATTAGGGATAAAAGCACCACTCCTGGATAACTAGATCTTTTGAAAATCTGTCTGTAAGTGTCTCAGTGTAAGCTACTGAAAAAAGAGTTGTACTGAAATATGGACAGCACTCCTTTATCACAACAAATTTTGAGGCTTCAGAATTTGTTTTTGTTTCACATGGGAATGAAAGCAATATCTCTTGAATGTTTTGTGAAAAGAAATTTTGTAAAACTATCCATTTTCCACTTAGAAAGATCTATTTTTTGCTACTGGCTCCATTCTGTCATCAGAAGTGACCAGAGCACCCTGGACCTCAACAGTTGACCAGAAAAAAATATCACCAAAGTCATACATCTCCATGAAATGTTTTGACCTATGTAAAACAGCATATTTTGATAATAGTACATCTCATCAAGAATATTCTTAGCAACCTGGACATTGAGCGGCTTTGAGTGTCTTCTCCTTATTGTGCTGCTTAAATGAGAGCTGAGCTCTTTTGAAAAATCTAGGCCCAACTATAGGTTTTGAGCTCTTAAAAATCTGGTTCAAGGAGCCCCTTGATAGCCCATCAACTGACATGGGGTTCTAGCCACATCAGTGTACCACTTGCCACCAACTAGGGTGGCCATCATAGAGGACATTCTGGTTTTCTGCTACTCTGTCTGGTATTCTGCTACTTGGGAGGCACCAGATCGCCATTCCCACCAACATGAGCCTTGTCAGCTGTGGGGTTGGTGGTAGGGTCGCCATCAGTCTGGTTGTCCTGTATTGATATGAAACCCGATGCCTTTATGTCCTCTATTTTTCTCTTTAAGAGAAAAATAGTTCCCGTAGAGGAAAGAGGACAACCAGACTGATGGCCACCCTACCACCAACCCCACAGCTGACAAGGTTCACGTTGGTAGGTATGGATGACTGGTGCCTCCCGAGTCTGGGGGGCACCAGATCAGTGACTGGGGGGGAGGGTCCCCCATGGCCCCAGCACTGATCACCAACTCCAAAAATCACCAGTGGTGAAACCAAATGTGCACTTCCATTGGCCCTTCCCATTTCACAGCTGGCATTTCCAGGGAGTGCATGGGCAATCTCAGTGGGTGCATGTGGGACCCTATGGATTGCCAATGTTGGTGGGAGTGTTTCCAGTGCTGCCCCCACTGTGAACCTCATCAACTGCATGGCTCACAGCACAGAGAATGCTGCTCCTGCTGCTGCTGTGAGCCTCATTGGCTGTAGGGCTTGCAGTGATGGCAGCATTGTTGGTTGTGGGGCTCACAGCAGGGTTTTCCTCACTGCTGCTATGAACCCTGCACCTCACAAGGCTTGTAGCGGTGGCAACATCCTGCCCTTTGTCATGGCTTCAAGCCCCACACCTCACGAGGCTCACAGCATCTGCAGCATTCTCCCCCATTGCCCCTGTCATGAACCCTGTCAGGGACCACAATCCCAGGCTCCCTCTTCACTGGTGATAAGGTGTGATAGGATCTAATGTGCAATCCCACAATTGCACCTCTGTCATGCACGTGTGGCATGGCAGGAGACACAATTGTGTGGATCGTCTGTTAGATCCCATTGTGCCTTTATTTACATGCATAGAGGGGCCCTTAAGATGCCTACCTTGTGATATGTTAGAGACCTTTTAAAAAAAAAATACTAAGAATCTAGATGCAAAATTACAAGTTATTTTTTAATATTTTAGGATGAAATCCAAGGCACGCTAAAAGTTAATGGGAGGTTTGTCCTTGACTTCACTGGAACCAGGATTACACCTGTGGGTTTTATCTTTATATAAATTGTTACACTCAAAGCCAACTCAGAAGCTACTCAGAATTAACAGAATGCTAGAAATGCTAGAAAGTAAACACTGTTATCAACAGCAATATACTTCACATTGCAACACTGTTAATTGCTTCCCCTTCATTAACTTTTATTTATATATTATGTTATTTTGCAATGTATGTATATTTATATATACATATATTCTAATGGCAGTAGGATACTAGTAAAGAGTCCTTTTTTTTTCCCTCCATTGGGTTGGAAGATCTGTGTGGAAGACCAGGCTCGCACTGGAATAACAGTTTTGTTTTCTTTGCTGATAAAACTATTTTAGAGACCTGTGGACACAATGATTATCACTGTGGAAGTGGGGAATGTATTCCACTAGCCAACCTCTGTGACAGACTCAAGCAATGTAAAGATGGATCCGATGAAGCAGAGTGTGGTAAGTCTCCCTTAAATGCAAAACCTGTCCATGTATTTTTCAATAATAATGACTTTTATGTTTGATTTAAGGAAACAAAAGAAAGGTTGAAATATAAAGAGCTAGACCCTCCACTGTTTTAAATTGACCCAGCTCTTAATGACACGGTGAAGCTGTGGTGATTTATACAAGTTTAGGATCTGGCTCAAGGTCTCTGTCAGAGACAGTAAAGAAAGTGACTCACTCCAAAACTTTATATCTGAACAAGAAGGTATCCCTGCAAAATGCAGGGAGATGTCTCTAAATTTAAAGGTGCAGGCTACTTAAAACAGTTTAAGAGCATAACTCTTAAATTGAAGAGTGAAGTCAGCAGTATTAGCAAAAACATGACTCCTTTAAAAATAATTCTCTTGCTGTTGAAAACTCCAAAATGATTAGTGCTTGTAAACCCATGCCCCAAAATCTAGCACTTCCATGACTGCCTCGACTCCAGCTTCTTTAAGAGAACAAAGGAGAGGACAGCTGTGGGAGCAGAAATTGGACCAGCTTTTCAGAGCTGCTCACAAAGTATGTGCAAGTTACTATGGCAAGGGAAGCAACAGCTGCTGTGACTCCACTATCTGTGAAGCTCCTGTTTACTTCAGCAGCCATAATGTGCATATATGCAAACATGGGCAGATCTAGGATTTTGAAAAGGGGGCGCAGATGGTTGTGCATTATCCCATGTAGTACAACATATACTTTTCTCTGGGTAAAAAGGAATTAGAAGCTTTAATAATCTTTAATAAGGGAGCTAGGACTCTCTTATTCACAGATTCACAGACGTTTGGGGCTAAAGGGAGCTCATGAGATCATTGGGGCAGTTTAAGATCAAATTAAAAACAAATACAACTTTACTGGAATAAGTTGGAAGCAGTCTGCAGGGTTAAGTAAGAAATGTGTTACCAGAAGCAGCCAACAGCCAGAAAGGCTAGCTTAATTAGTGGAACATGAAGACTATTAAATAGGAGAGACGGTAATTACCACCTGTGGAATGAGGAGTTTAGAAGAATTCACATGGCTTTTAATGAGCCATTTATTAAGGAAGTAATAAACTAGAAGCGCAGTATCTAAGGCACATTAATGAACATGTAGATGCACCCAATGCTGAAAAGGGGGCGCAGATGGTTGTGCATTATCCCATGTAGTACAACATATACTTTTCTCTGGGTAAAAAGGAATTAGAAGCTTTAATAATCTTTAATAAGGGAGCTAGGACTCTCTTATTCACAGATTCACAGACGTTTGGGGCTAAAGGGAGCTCATGAGATCATTGGGGCAGTTTAAGATCAAATTAAAAACAAATACAACTTTACTGGAATAAGTTGGAAGCAGTCTGCAGGGTTAAGTAAGAAATGTGTTACCAGAAGCAGCCAACAGCCAGAAAGGCTAGCTTAATTAGTGGAACATGAAGACTATTAAATAGGAGAGACGGTAATTACCACCTGTGGAATGAGGAGTTTAGAAGAATTCACATGGCTTTTAATGAGCCATTTATTAAGGAAGTAATAAACTAGAAGCGCAGTATCTAAGGCACATTAATGAACATGTAGATGCACCCAATGCTGTCTGACTAGAAATGCTGCTGCCACTGCCAAGTTATTAACTTTGTGTGGAGAAGGAATGAAAGGGAGGTGCAACTGGATCTGCTCCTGTATCTAAAAGCAAACATTAACTTTTCTGTTTTAGCTTGTTATTTTTGATGGTGAGAATATTATATATTAAAAATAGTTTTTTTTATTTAGTTTAATATTAGTTTAGCTTAGTATTATATATTAAATATTAGCTTAGGTTAGTTTAATATTGTATATTAAAATAATATAATTTATAATAAAAATAAAAACTATATTAAAGTATCTTACAGCAAAAGCTGTGAATATAATTATTTAACAAAGAATAGATGAAACAGATTTTTAAAACATTTTTAATGTAGGCATTTTAAAAATATGGCTAAGGTAATCTCTGTCTGGTATTCTGTACTTGATTCCAAAGATTTTTTTGCCATAACTTGTTCTAATACCATGTACTAGAATATGTAATTTAATTTGAGATAAACTGTTTCTAGTTAAAAAAAACAAACAAAAACCCTAATGCAAAAATTGGCTTCAATATTAGTCTGCACCTCTAATAATGAGGTAAATGATTAAGTGACTGTCTCCTCTTCAAATTGCTTTTTATAATGTTTCCAAATATTTTTTTCTGAATGTTTTCTTCTTCAAAAAGCTTTGATATTTTGTCTTTCTTAGTCAAGATTTGTGGCAAAGCAAATGACAAAATGATAGCATTTCCCACAAGATGAAAACTTCAGTTTTCAGTCAGCTACTCTTTTTATGGTAATCACCAGTCTGGTTACAGTGACACTTTGGTAGCTAAGTCCTTGCATCATGATTTGAAATAAGGTACTGCTGGCTGAAAAAAAACCTGAAAAGAGGTTGGTTGAAATCTGGGCTTATATCAATTGAACAGCTGTCATTGATGAGGCTTTGGCAGTAATTTTGTTGGACACTGTCTCCCTTCCTCCTGCCCCCGGGATTAGAAATGCAGGAAGATGTGTCAGTAACAGGTTTGCCATCATTGGGCTATATCATCTTTATGGCACATATTTCCTCTCTGCTGCAAGACCAAGTAACTTAGAGCTCTGTGGTCTAGCACTAATGTATCTAGTCTGTTGTCTGCATTATATTTCCAGTACTTTAGCCTAGCTGATAATTCATATGTCTGTTTTTGTCCATAGTACGTCTGTTTAATGGTTCTTTAAGTGTCAATGGGTTGGTACAATTCAGGATTGAGAATAAATGGCATCTAGTATGTGCAGATTACTGGACTGAGCAGATTTCAAACAATGTCTGCCAACTGCTAGGACTAGGGTAAGTACTATTATTCATTGCCTTTGTCAGTAACTCATTAACACATCTATTGAATGTAGAATGCATTTATGTTTTTCTCTTCAGCTTGACCAACCAAAATATTGGGGGGAAAATAAAAAGAATGTGCCCAGCTGAAAAACTGCAGTATTTTGTCCATTCATCCTATTCCTCAAACAGCATAGTGCCAGTTTCTGTGGCACATACCTTTGAAAGATTTACAGGAATGAGGGTGCCTGTTTGAATAAACTGATTGGTTATGCATAAGAATCACTCCCAGGACTATCACTTTTATGATGATTCCAGAAATAATGTGTTAGCAAACAGTAGTCTTCATTATTCAACTGTCATACCCATGTTCATTTCACATAAATTGCAGACAATTATTTGGTATTGCACACCTGGCCTGACAGTTCTAGTTGTCATTTGACCTTATTGTACCACTTCAGACGAGAAACTGAACTTCTTTTGAGGCTTGGAAAATAATTTACTACTAAAAAATGACACTACCCTTTTATTAGCTGAATAAATGTATGGAAAAGCCAAAATACTGCAACAAAGGCTTCCATAGATTCATAGATGCTACAGTTGGAAGGGACCTCAAAGGATAATCAAGTCCAACCCCCTGCCAGTGGCAGGAAAAAGTGCTAGGGTCATGTAACCCCAGCCAGGTGCTTGTCCAGTCTCCTCTTGAAAACCTTGAAGGTAGGGGAGAGCACCACCTCCCTTGGAAGCCCATTCCAGATTCTGGCAACCCTCACCGTGAAGAAGTCATAATGTCCAACCTAAAGCTACTCTCCATCAGCTTGTGGCCGTTGTTTCTGGTTATTCCAAGGGGTGCTCTGGTAAACAGAGCATCTCCTATTCCATGCTGCCCTTTCCCTCCCCCTGCCCCCGCAGTGAATTTGTATACTGCCACAAGATCCCCCCTCAGCCTTCTCTTGAGGAGGCTGAAAAGGTCCAGGTCCCTCAGTCTTTCCTCATAAGGCCTTCCCTGCAGGCCTCTAACCATACAAGTGGCCCTCATCTGGACCATCTCACAGCTATCCACATCCTTCTTGAATTATGGTGCCCAGAATTGGATGCAGTACTCTAGCTGTGGCCTGACCAGTGCTGCATAGAGGCGGAGCATCACCTCTCTGGACCTGTTTGTGACCCACCTACTAATGCATGACAAAGTGTGGTTAGCTCTGCTAATTACTTTGTCACATTAACGACTCATTCATTTGAAGTCAACAACAACTCAGATCTCTTTCTGCCACTGTGCTGTTGACAAGGTCATCCCCCAGCCTATAGGTGTGCTGGTGATTCCCTCTCCCTAGGTGCAGCACCTTGCACTTGTCCTTGTTGAACTGCATCCTATTGTTTTCTGCCCACTTCTCTAACCTGTCCAGGTCTGCCTGGATTTGGATTCTTTCAATCAGTGTATTTGCTTCACCCCATAGTTTGGTATCATCTGCGAATTTGGACAGAGTGCTTTCCACACCCTCATCCAGGTCGCTGATGAAGATATTGAACAGCACTGGCCCAAGGACCAAGCCTTGGGGGACTCCACTGCCCACATCTTTCAAGGTCGATACCCACCCATCCACCATCACTCTCTGGGTATGACCCTTAAGCCAATTTGCCACCCACGTGACTGTGTTAATCGTCTATGGCACAGCCGCTCAATTTGTTATAAGAATAGGATGGGATACTGTGTCAAAGGCCTTTTTAAAGTCCAAGCAGATGACATCTATCTCGACTCTTGCATCTAAGCATTTAGTGACTTGGTCATAGAAAGAAACAAAGTTAGTCAGGCAGGATCTACCTGCTATGAACCCATGCTGGTTGCCCTTCAGCATATTACCCACTGGATGCCTACAAATTGATCCTTGATAATTTTTTCAAGAATTTTCCCAAGGATAGAGGTGAGACTAATTGATCTATAGTTACCCTGATCCTCCTTCCTCCCCTTCTTGAAAATAGGAACCACATTGGCACTTTTCCAGTCCTCAGGGACCTTACCTGGGTACTATGAGTGCTCAAACAGTCGTACCAGTGGCTCTTCTATGACACTGGCTAATTCTTTCATCACCCTTGGGTGGAGCTTATCTGGTCCCACTGATTTAAACACATCCAGCCCCTCCAAGTGTCCCTTTACTAGGTTGGCACTGACAGTTGGTAGGCTGATGTTTCTCCTGCTTCTGTCAGTAATGCATTTGGGAGATTTGTCTAGATCTGAGTTCAAGAATACAGAGGGGAAAAAACTCATTGAAGAGCTCTGCTTTGTCCCTCCTATCTATCACCAGCTGCCCTTGTCTAACCTGTAGGGGTCCTATGCTGCCCTGCTCCTTCTTTTTGCTCCCTGTATACCAAAAGAAGGACTTTTTGTTGTCCTTAATTTTTGTCACCAGCCTGAGTTCTAATGCTGCTTTGGCCTTCCTAACTGATTCCCTGCAAAAGCAAGTATACTCCTTGGTAGCTACCCCCTGCCTCCACAGCATGTATTCCCCTTTTTTGCCCTTAGGCTTTCCTGGATTTCCCTGTTTATCCAGGAGGGTTTCTTGGCCCCTTTGCCCCCTTTTCTATGCAGTAGGATTGCTTCCTTCTGTGCCCGAAGGATTACTTCCTTGAGGAACGACCACCCTTCCTGGACCCCCATTTTGTCAATGCTCTTGAGCTTTAATGACCCACTACCTAATCTCCTACATACCCTGAAGTTAGACTTTCTGAAGTCTAGGACTTCTGCCCTGCTGGTTACTTTTCCCACCTTTGCCAGATAGTGAATTCAATCAATTGATGGTCCCTATCCCCTAGGTTGCCTTGTACCTGCAGATCCTCCACCAAGTTGTCCCCTGTAGCCAGCACCAGGTCCAGCAAGGTGTTCCCCCAAGTGGGATCATATACCTCCTGCATCAGGTGGAGATCCTGTATGCAGATTAAGAACCTGTGTGAGCAATTAGTTCTGGATTACTGATCCTCCCACGACATGTCAGGGTAGTTTAGGTCACCCACAACAATCATATCTCTTGACCGTACGGCCTCTGAGAGCTGCCTAGAGAATTCCAGGTCTAGCTCATCCTCCTGGTGTGGCAGTCTATAGTAGATCCCCACTACCAAGTCCATTTCCCCTCGAGCCCCTTGTATCCTAAACCACAGTACCTCAGTTTGGCCCTCCTCTGATTTCATCATGATTATAGATGTATATTGCTCCTTAACATAGGGAGCAACACACACACACCTTTTTTTTTCCCCCCCACTATCCCATCTGTACAACCTATAACCTTCAATGCCTACAGCCCAGTTGTGAATAGGGTCCCACTAGGTTTCAATTACCCTAACCAGGTCGAAGTTGTTGCTTGCAAGCAGGAGTTCAAGTTCCTCCTGCTTGTTCCCCATGACACATTAGTGTAGAGACATTTAAGCCCCCCAGTGAGTGCCCTTGGTACCCCCTTGTCCTGATGTCTGTCAGGCCCCTTAGTACTTACCTGGGCTGATCCATCGCATAGCTCATGGTTCTCAATGTTCATTACCTAACTGAAACCACAAATTTCTGGAAATCGCACTAAAGAGCTTTGTCTCATTGATATTCCCAACCTCATTTTCTCACCACAGAGACCTGACTAAGTCTCTGAATGTTTGTGTATGATAATTACTGACCTGGGCCACCACAAATTATTGATCTGGGCCTCCTGGGCTTACTTATTCAAATATGTCTTATTTCATCTATCCAAAACCAGCTTCTTTATAAACCACTTGTCCTGAGGGTGAAAGAATCAAATCTTATATCTTTTTCTGTGTGGGATATTGATAAGTTTATTACAGGGTTATATAAGAGAGCATTCAGCACATTATGAAACATTAGAATATTCAATAAAGCTGTACAAACTACATGAAATCCCTAAGATCCTTCTGCAAAATATAGGTAAAATGCAATTCCAGCAATTTTAGAAGAACCCCCAAATATATAGAGAACCTCAGATGTTAAAAAAAATAAAATGGGAAAAGCAAGGATCTTTTAGGGTGGCATCTTTCATTGGATCAAATATAGTTGGTCACCCTAAGAAATCCTTGCCCCTCACAATTTCTGGACTATCATGGCTACAACATCAATCTTACACTGCCTAAACTTTGTTGTTTTTTGTTTGTTTGTGTTGGGGGGGGGGCTGGGGGGTTGCCTTTTCAGGTCACTTTGAATTATTTTACATATTCTGTTGTAAAAAAAAAAATGTTTTAAAGTTCTAAACTTCCCTTGCTGCAACTTGAGACCATTGCTCCTTGTTGTGTCATCTGCCACCACTGAGAACAGTCTAGCTCCATCCTCTTTTGAACCCCACTTCAGGGAGTTGAAGGCTGCTATTAAATCCCTCTCAGTCTTCTCTTCTCTAGACTAAATAAGCCCAATTTCCTCAGCCTCTCATAAGTCATATATGCTCCAGCTCTGCCTCACCATTTTTTTTTGCCCTCCAGTTGATTCTCTTCAATTTGTCTACATCCTTTCTGTAACTGGGGGGGGCAAAATTGAAAACAGTTCTCTAGATGTGGCCTCACCAGTGCTGAATAGAGGGGAATAATTACTTTCTTGGACCTACTGGCAACACTCCTAACATTGCAGCCCAGTATGCCGTTGGCCTTCTTTGCAACAAGGGCTGGCTCAAATTCAGCTTATTGTCCACTGTAACCCCCCCAGGTCCTTTTCTGCAGAGCTGTTGCCCAGCCAGTCAGCCTCCAGTCTGTACCAGTGCATGGGATTGTTCTGTCCTAAATGCAGGACTTTGCACTTGTCCTTGTTGAACTTCATGAAATTTATTTTGGCCTAATCCTCTAATTGTTTTAGGTCACTCTGAATCCTAGCCCTACCCTCCAGCATATTTTCTACTCCCCCGGCTCCACCTCCCCCAGCTTGGTGTCATCTGCAAACTTGCTGAGGGTGCACTTTATGCTGCCTTCCAGATCATTGATGAAGACATTAAACAAAAACAGCCCCAGGATCAACTCCTGGGGCACTCCACTTGATACTT